GCTCAGATACCTTACAGGCACTTCTTAAAATCACGGCTGCATATTTTAAAGGTATTCCTCTGTAGAAATATCATGAGTTAGTTCGTCACTCCAGGATTCATTTCTTGTTTTTTTCAAAACGTTAAAAAAAATATTTTGACTTTACTCGGTTTTAATTGAATTAAAGATTACTATGCAACTGAATTGAATGGATAATTTTCAATTCATTTTGTTTAAAAGAAGAACTTATGAAACTTCAAAGAAAATAGCCGCATAAAGCTTTGAATGAAAGCAATTTAAAACGTGCAGGCATAATGCTTAGGGACATTGAACCGAAATGATTTAACTAGCTACCGCGTGGGACTGGGCCACCCATATAATTAAATGAGCACATGCAAGAGATTATAGTCTCCTGGCACGTGCAATTTTTGTGTGTTGTGGAACCTAATGTTGGGTTCAATGAAAGCCTCGGTGACCTGTGGTTATCTGTAAAAGTTCTCAAACACATGGCAAGCATTAAAATATTCTTATACCTCACTCTCTGTCTTGTTGGAGATGTTTTCGCAGAAAATGTAAAATCTTTGGCCAGCAGTCTTCTTGTGCTCTGGCATGTGCAACAGTCTCCCCTCCCCAAGCTACGTAAGGGTAACCACCCAATTCTTTAGCAACTTTGTCGAAAGAAAAATCACAAAGAGGAGAGTAGGGTGGTTCGATGAGATGTCCCGCTTGGGGATAACGCAAGTTAGTGCACAAATGTTCTTTTCCATTCTCCTTCAAGCGATCAATAATGAACTTTACTGTTAAATCGGTGGGCATGTTCAAGTAATCAGTTCCAGAAACCAGCATGACAGGGCAATTGATGTTCTCAACTGGTGTAATAGCTGAGTATTTGGAGACTGTTGTTGGATTCATGTAACCGATGTCAGTTGGTTGGGCGAAACGATGGATGCTGCCCTTTTCTGAAGACACCACTTTGCTCTCATCTGGGGGTATTATGTCTGAGACTCTCCCTCTTAATTGGAAAGGGAGAGGGCAGGCGATTACCATAGGTGAAATAGCTACAACGGCCTTTATTGGTGCAATCTGATAGCTTGCCATCAACAGTGCAATCCATGACCCATAGCATATAGTGTGCATGCTGATACCATGTGGAAGCACTTTAGTGTGACTTATAAGCCAGTTGGCAGCTTCTTCAAAATAATCCAAGTTTAGTGAAGATGGAACCAATGGTAGATCTTCATAGCCTGAGTAGGCCAAAGCAAGAGTAGCGAATCCATGAGATGCCAAAAGTGAAGCCTTAAATTCCACTAATCCACCTGCAGCACCAAGCAGATCTATGACTCCTGTAAAGGAACATTGACTGATTGAGTGCAAGATATGTCTAACATGTGCAGTGGAGATCGTACGATTAAGATATTGCTTTGATTCAGTAACAATCGTTTATAAAATAACACG